CTTTCCGGTGACGAAGGAGAACACTATCGTGTATGAGTATGATCGGGTTGAGGACGAGATCAAGGAAGCGGTCATAGACTGGAAGAAACAGCATGGTCTGCCGAAGAATGTGTTCGCAATGTCAACGTGTATCAGCAGAAGGGCGAAGTGGTTGATGGACACTGGATGTGGACATGATCTCATTGGACGAGCCAAGGCGAAGAGTCTGGGCGTTTATATTGTACAAGGAGATGATGAGATTGTGTTCCAGACAGCAAATGGATCCACATCCACATCCGACGTGGCTGAGATAGTCGTGGACGAGTTGGGCGAGACTGTCAAACCGCATGTGTTGGATGAGACGCCCACGGTATTGTCGATAGGGAGAAGATGCATGAAGATGGGGTATGCTTTTCACTGGACGCCTGGTAAACTACCTTTCATGGTTACACCGAAGCAAGGATTTGTACACTTACAGGTCAAGGATGACATTCCGTACCTGGTGAGCGATGGTAAGCTTCGGAGTAATAGGCATCGCCCTACGATCGACGACCTCAAGGGACACTTCTCAGAGGTCCTGGCATTGGTCACGAACGATGAGACAGATCAGAACGACGATGATGGAGATGGTATACCCGCCGCTGCCGGTGAATCCGCAGAGGTTGAGGGTGAACATCATCATGAGGCAGTCGACTTCGGACCACCCGGAGGGGCCGGTCCGGTACATCCGCCTCCAGTAGCCGAGGAACCACCAGAAGACGTCGGGCTAGACCCACGTCGCCATGGTGACGCCGAGGCTAACGAAGAAGAAGCTGATGAGGATGATCCAGATGCTGGAATTGAGGTTGACGTGTACGAAGGATCATCGATCAAGAGGAAAGTGGGAGTCCTCAAGAGGGACGCCGACTCCGTTGCTCACCTGCTTACCCACAGATACCGAAATCCTTTCTGTGAGTCGTGTGTCATGGCAAAGATGAGACATTTCAGATCACGAACAGGAGCCTTCAAGAGAGAGGTCAAGACGTTCGGAGACCTGGTGACGTTCGATTTCGTGACGGCATCAGGAGATCATGAAGTGGAGGGAAGGTATGCGCTCATCATTCGGGACATATACCGGATTCATTATAGCTTATCCGACTGCGAGGAGAGACACTGACTCCGTTGTCAGGGCTATCAAACACTTCTGCGGTAGGAGAAAGATCAAACAGGTGTATTCGGATGATGGCCCAGAACTGATCAATGCCTGCGTCGAGCTGAAGCTGAATCACGACCTGTCCTTGCCTGGACGACCGCAGAATAATTCCCTTGCCGAAAGAACAAATCAATTCATCATCGATCAGACATCGGCTTGTCTTGCGCACGCCGGTCTGCCCACGTGCTAGTGGGTGCAGGCCATCACCACGCTGTGCCATCTGATGAACGTTGAAGAGGTGAATGGGTCAAGCGCTTGGTTGAGACTGCATGGCGAAGAGTTCAAAGGCGAGAAGATACCTTTTGGTGCGCTAGTGGACTTCAAGCCGAGCGAAGCTGGAGGGGAAAAGAGGGAGAAGTTCGAGCCTACGGGGGAACTGGTATATTTGCTGGATATGTGCTGAGTACCGGAATGCATTGGGCAAACAAGTATAGAGCTTGGGCCCTCACGGCGTTTGCAGGTGCAGAGCTGAACATCAAGAAGGCAAAGGTTCCACCCCGGTTGAGAATGCCACATCAAACGGAGAGGATGATCCTCAAATCACCTCTGACATTCCCAATACAGCAGAAGTACAAAGCTGCCAACGAGACTTTGGAAGGAATTGAGATGTCTGTCGATGCAATCGGTCTAGATGCACGTGATCGCCTGATCGAGGATGAGGACTACGAGCCCGAGTTATTGCAGAGTGACGAAAAGCGACTGCTTGACGATGAGGTCGATCAGATCGCTGGTCTACTGCTTGATGAAGGTCCGGAGTTACATGTCGGAGATCGGGGGGATCATGTAGGTGGAGAAGATGCTAGACCGAGCTCATCGAAAGGGAAAAGCGATGGACGCGACAAGGACGACAAAGAAGTTGTGAAGTCTGATCTTCCACATGTGTCAGATGGACAACCTGGGGATGGCGTAACATACGTCAACGATGATGGCAAGGAGGTTAAGATCGACAAAGCCGGAAGACCATATCCCGTTGGGAAGGATGGCTTCAGGTTGATGAAGACGACGAGGCCTTCAGAATATACTCCCGCCGAATGGGCAATGATGAGAAAGTATTACACCGAGGAAGAGAAAGCCGAGGTAAAGGGTGGTGGCAAGAAGAAGAAAGAAGAACCCAAAAGCAAAGGATCTGAGATTTCTACGCCAGCCGAAGCGCAGACGCTGCAGATGCCCGGCGCCAAGAGAATCCGGGCCATTCTTCGGAACCGCTGGGGTGGAGTCGATTGGCAGTACAATTGGGGATTGCGAAAGAACGTGTCAAAGATCAAGAACCCACAGGATGGGAAGCACTTGGCCGAGCTCGATTGGGTCGGGATAGTCGTGTGAATCCGGTCGACGGAGTGGTTGTCCTCATGGATTCCAAGAAATCCCAAGATGTCTTGAGACAGAGCGTTCGGCTTGAGAAAGAATTCGTGCGCCTGGTGGTAATATATGCCTGGAAGTTCACGTCTGAGGAGCGGGCACGACCGACTCCAAATTGGACGAAGGCGCTTGCATCAGTCACTGGTCGTCAAGAAGACGAAGCTGAACAAGTATCGGGGCCAGATCCTACGGATGATACGCCGGCGTTTTCTTGCTCGAGCAAAGTGCCTTCAACAGTCAACAGGCGCGATTGAAACCCGCTCTTGCTTGCATAGTGAGGGGAAAACCACGGCGGCGACAGACTGCTGCACGTGAGAATCACACCACTTCGACTGTACCAACGAGGTTCCGGGCCAGACCCAAACCTCAGGTTGCAGCTGGGTGCAATTGGAATCCATTCAGTGGTTGAGCGGGCTCATCAGCATAACCTCCTGCGCTGGATGATTTGCGGATCAATTCCCAATGATATCTCAGATGCATGCATCGGGGCGATGAACTCACTTATGTGGGTATCCTTCATCCTGAAGAGGTTGCAGCCGCTGATCAAAAAATGCAGCCGACAAAGCTGCGGAGAACCAAGACCGGATTAAATGGGTTAAATGGCTGAAGGACATTGAGCAAGAGGCAGAGAAGGTCCATGTGATCGACTTCGATCAAAATGGCTATTGCACCTATGAAGAAAAGGACAGAGAGCTGGAAAGGTACCCTGAGGATTTCGCCGACGGTGAGGAGCCAACATGGTGGGTGATGGGCTCGTCAAAGACGGAGCCACCGCAGAAGACAGAGCGACAGCGGAAATCATCATCTCGTTATGGGCAAGGACAGCAAGCTGCTGGCGGGTCATTCCCACAGCAGGGAGCATCGAGTGGATGGACGTCTGCCAACGATCCCAACAAGATTGACAACGAGATCATTGACTCCATCTTTCGAATGAACTCCGGCGAGGATGACGACAGGTGGGAGATCACCAACGCCGCGGCTGGACACGAGACGTATACCTCGTTCGAGGGAGGTGTCACCCTGGGTGGCGCAACTGTTAGCGTGAAGTTTAACATCGACGCCAACACCGGGTACCCAATCATACAGACGGTGTTCGGACCATGTCTCGCCAAGGGGAAGAACGCGACATATTGGGCGTGTATGCTGAGGAATCTGACATCATCGCTGGTGCACTTCGAAGAGAAGCCTAGTGCTGAAAAGATCATCCTTTCATATGTCAGCAAGAGCAACGCTGCATGCTTGATCACAGGGCGCCTTCCGGGCGCCAAAGCCATCAATGCGTTGACACAGGCGGAGAAGAACCCTGACAACGCACCTGCGCGGTTGAGCCGAATCATCAAAGAACAGAGGAGGTGTCACATTGATGGGGCGACGATCCGTGACATGATGATTCAGAAGAAGAGCTTCCTGGTTCTGGATTGGCCCCTGAGAGCCGTCAATGCGAAGGGGAGCACAAAGACTTTCCAGGTGATGGTCAACGAGCAGGGATGGACGAACATCGAGGAGAGATCGTGTTACGGGTCGAGCGAGCCAGTCTCATCGAACCCGGACACGGTGAACATCATCTCCCGATTGCAACAGCTGGAAAAGCTTATCTGCGAACGACGTATGGATGCTTCACCTGTGTCGGTGCACATCTGGATGTCGCTCTACGACTGGATGTGCATGAGGGGTTGCGGATGGCAGGTGACCACCAGACCCATCATCGACTCCTTGTCAAAGGCGATATCGGACCTCGTCAACGTATGCAACGGCATGGTCGTTGTGTGCGTGAACCGCGATGTAGCTTTCCATGGTGGAAGAGGGGACTTGGGTACGATTGCCAACAAGGTGAGCGAGATCTGCAAGGCGGCAGCCGCGTTGGTGACCAAGAATGACCGCATGTGGCGCGTTGCTCACGCGCTAGCGGCCAAGAACTGAGACCGCTTCGATAAGCAGGGGTGGGGGGGGGTTGTTGTTTAATAGGGGGGGGTTTGTTGTTTAACAGGGGCGGGGGGGGTTGTTGTTTAAGAAGGAAGGGTGCTCGAAACCGCGTGCCACCCCCCCCCCTCGAAGAAGAACAATGGGGGGGGTTTTGTTGTTTGGGGGGGGGGGTTGTTGTTCGAGGGGGGGCAGGGGGGTTGTTGTTCGGGGGGGGGGGTGGTTGTTCGAGGGGGGGGTGTTTGTTCGAGGGGGGGGGTGAGACAGAGGGGGGGGTTGTTGTTCGGGAGGGGGGGTTTGTTGTTCCGGGGCTGGGGGGGGCGTTTGTTGTTCGGACTGCTACTGACCTTGCGCGCGAGCTTGAAGAAAGACGCCTTGAGCCAGCGACACCGACGGACAAGAAAGCAGGAAAAGCGGAGCTGATGACTGGAGTGGGACATGGACTGATCTGAGCCGATTCCGCAGTCAACCCAAAGTGCGCGACAGCCCTGGGCAATGGCAGCAATTGTTTTCCAGCGCGTCGGGGGCTCTCTGTTGGTGACACGCGACATCACCCCCGCGCAGCGAGAGCTGCTCGCAGCTCGACCGTCGCCGCCGCTATGCTTTGGCGAATTGCCGGGTCATCTAAATTCGAAAACACAATCTCGGCCTGGGACTGTTTGCGATGCGTCTGCAGCTCCCTCTCAGGAAGCGTGTGGAAGGATTCAGCAGCCTCAAAAAGTTGCAGCGAATCTCGTAGGGCTTCATGGCCGACGGCCTCGCGCGGACGTTTGACGAACCACAAGGTTTTTGCTCCCGTGGCATTCGTGCTGAGGGACAGGGCGCCCAAGCCGAGCAGGTGCAGCAACGTCAGTGCTCGCGGTGCGTGAAGATTGACGTCGACAGTGGGCAGTTGCAGACAGAGCACCGGACGAAGGTGGCCAACATCGGAGATACGCATGCACGGCAGCCGCTGAGACACGCAAACCGCATGGCACATCGTAACCAGAGGTTCCAACCGGGCCTCCGTGAGAAGACTGGGGACGGAAGTAGTTGCAAGCAGAGAACGGAGGTTCTGCTTGTGCGTTGTGCGAGGCCGGACGGGCACAGCAGGAGCTGATGGGGAGGCGCTGGCAACAGGAGCAGCATCAGGAGCTGGAAGACGTAAAAGATCCAAGTGCGCGAAGACGTCGTCCATATACTGGCTGAAGATGACGCTTGCTTGCGCAGCAGCCACTGGGATGACCGTGCACCAATCTGCAGCGGTGACGTTCGCGCACTTCTGCATGAGGTTGTGCAATGGAAGGGCTAGCCAGTAGTGTCGGGTTTTGCCCTTTCCCGCCTTTTTGGCTGCCTGCTGGTCAAGTTTGTAGGACGCTTCCTGTTCGCTCGCCTTGTCATCAAAGTTTCCCCAAAACAGCGCAGCAGCCTCCTCAGACCACGTGTAGTAGAGCCAGGAGTAATTCAAGTCCTTGGCAAATTGCTCGGACTCGTGGCCCGGGTGATGACGAGCATGCAGCTCCCACAATCCTTTGGCCAGGAAACCGTGCAATGTGTCCCCCGGGATTCTGCTGCATGCTTCACGCAGCTGAGCAGAACGCACAAAGCGAGGGTGCTCGTACATAACAAGCAGCCGTTCTCGCAGGCCCAGAGGGTCCTGTGCAAAGATGACACGTGCGCGGCACGATGCACGGAGGTTTCAACAGGATGGTTCGAAACCAGTGCCACAGGTCCTCTTCTCCCAATGCGGCCATGAGCTCCTCCATGTGCACGGCAGCGCAGACGCCAATGCACGGGGCATCAACTAGCACCGTCGTTCGATCCTGCCGAGACAAAACGCACGCCTGAGTCTGCAAACAAAGCAGGTATTCGCAGGGCCGAGAATGCAAGAACGCAAGAACGCAGTTGGGGGTGGGGTGCGGGTTGGGCGGTCCTTCACGGTCACCTTGCCCCAAGGCAAACGGTCTGTTAGCTGAGTGATGAGGCCCTTGTATCCGGAACTGTTCCGAGATCCAGCTGAGGAAGATAAGACCCTCCGCAAGGAAGGCGGCGGCTCGAGACACATTTTGTGGCTCAGCCATGCGACCGATGACACCGTCGACAGAGCCGGACGTGAAGCCCATGTGCATGGGCGCCGGCTGGCTGTACCGAGGCCGTTTAGCGGAGGAGTCAGCTTCACCCTCGTGCGCCGCCGCGCCCTCCGGCTGCTCACGAAAAGCTTGCAGCGCGAGTGTGTGACTATCCTTGGCCTGCGCGCCGCGCTTGACTGTGCAAGTCTAGATGTTGACTGGGCCCCGCACGCCATGTGTGACACATAAAGCGGATCCATGCCACAAAGCCGAAGCCAAGCAAACAAAACAACAAACATGTTGCTTGCCAGGCCTTTTTGGCCTGGTACTCGTTTTCCCACAGCTCAATTTGCCGCATGGCTCGGCTGTAAGCGGCCATGAGGCCGCTCGTTTGTGTGGCGCCGGGGTGCAAGATGAACGCCCAGGGCATTGTGTAGAGCGGGATGGTCTTCTCCGCTAGAAGACAAGCAGTTGGGGCAAGGAAGGACGCGGCGCAAATTCCCGCCAAGAGCACCCAAGAAACTGGCACTGACAAGGAACCAGCCACGACTTCGCAGTGCTGCATCACAGCAGGCATCAAAGCACGCATTTGCGGCAAGGGGAAGACAACTTGCTCAGCATTTTCGAAAGCCTGCAGGATGGCCTTCTCTGTGAATGACTTCTTCACTGCAGGCGGCGACGTGCGCCAGAAGGGGCCCAGCCAATTCCAAGAACCGCATGCAGCGAACCGTGCCCCATCGGGGCAGCACATGCGGCTGGAGCGCAGCGTGCTGGAAGTGAGCATCTCTGGCATTGTAGAAAACCAGGCGCGGCCCCGCTCCGAGAGCGACAGCAGCAGCCACGTGGGTTGGCAACAGCGCTCGCACGGGGTAGCTCGAAGAAAAGTGGAGCAGAAGGCCGTCAGAGTGCACGACGCAGATGCCAGCTGGAAGCCACTCAGGCAGCACATCCACGAACAGTTGAATGTGCACCGCGCGGACGAAGCAGCTGGAGTCGTGCAGCGCGCGTAGACGCTCGCGCCCGTGGCAATCTGCCCGGACACTCGCGTACGCGAGAAGCACCTGGCGAGACACGCCAACTGCGTGGAAGAAGCAGTCGGCTGCCGCACAAGGGCTGTCTCAGCACGCAAAGGGCAGAAGCCCAGAACTCCCGGGTGGGAACTGTGCAAGAAGCAGCTCCAAGCACCCGCAGCTCCACGGCGGAGATAAAGCAAGCCTTCTGTTGGACATGGGGCGCCCACCGCGCAGTGGCTGCATCCTCAAGAACAAATCCAGTCGGGAACTTGCGAGGAAAACTCGCAGCCAGATGAACGAGAAGACGCCAAGCAGAGAGCGGGTACCCGAGCAAGATGCGCAACTGAGCCGCGGCGTCACGCATGGCTGCTGCATGGCTTGGAGCCACGCAGGAGACAGCCGACAAGAGCGAAGCCTCGGACACTGGGCACGAAAGCGCATCTTGGGGCGGCAGCTCGGAAGGTCCACCTAGATTGACTGCACCAGGCTGCGCGCGGCCAGCACGCCAATGACCGTCAGAGGTCAGAAGTAATAAGCCCCGGTCACTGGCAAAGAGACCGCCGGGGCAGGCAACGCCGTCCAGAAGCAGCCAGAAGACAGATCCAAGATAAAGACACAAGGGGACAGGATAGCCCGGGCGCCACGAAGCCAAACGCTCACTTGTGAAAGTCGCACATCACCAAGCCAAACAGCTGCGCAAAAAGCGGCATCAGTGCGCGCGAGGTGACAGACGAAGATTGCAACCGATGTGGGCTCCATGTTGCAGAGCGCACCGATAGCAGTCAGCAATGAACCCAAAGGAGTGCCTTTCTGCCTGGGCAGCGCGTGACAGAAAGGGGGAGATCGTAAAACCGGTTTCACTGGGCGCACGCGGCAAGCATCAAAATTCAAGCTGCCTAGCTGCAAGTGCTCCAAAAGAAGCTGTGGAAGGCGGTGCCCAAAGAACTCATCCTCCTCAAACGCGTGCAGGGGCATCGCGGCACTTCTGGGTGTAGAAGGCGAGCTACGGTCATCGCAGACTGAGTTGTCAAAGCTCATCCGCGGAGTCATCGCGGCACTGCCGGGTGTAGACGGCAAGCCACGGGCGTCACAGAACGAGTTGTCACATCTCTCGACGGTGGCTGCCGCGGCGTTGTCGGAAGTCGAGGACGGCGGCACGGCAGTGTCAGACGCGAGAGCCCAGGAAGGGTCAAAGATGCGAGGCCACGACGTGGACGGCATCATCGCTGTCAGACGAGGCGAGCGCAATGCCACCGGCACGCTCAGGCAAGCAGGACAAGGGCGTCTCCGCAGACACGTCGTTCGCAGGCCGCGAAAGGCGGAGCGAGGGCGGCCGAAGCGGACGTGGGCGTCGCAAGCGCACGGTGCGTCGTCGAGCAGCGATGGTGCAGAAGATGGAGAGGCGTAGGAATATGAATGGTCCACCTGCTCAGGATGCCCGATTGAAAAACAATGACACGCAAGCGTACGGACTCCGCCCAACAGCACCCACCTGCGCAGAGCAGCAACACACTGACAGTGCACCGCAGCATGCTTCCACGTGCCCCACGCTTGCAAGACCGCCAGAAGGGCGCGAGAAGAAGCCCGACGACGGCGGCGTTGACGACGCACTGCGCGCCGAACAGCACGACACCGAAGAAGACGGACATGGCAGGAGCGAGGTAGCAGGCTCAGTGGTAAGACGCGTCCACGGGGCCAGGGGCTACGGAGGAGGCTAGCGCATCATGCGGCAAGGATCGTGCACGGCACACTGCCAAATAGCTCCGTGCACAGGGCAAGCAACTGCGAGACACGACTACCATCAAAAGCAGACTGCCGCACCTTTTTGTCTTTGCGCAGCAGATGAAGATGCAAGCAGTGGCCCGCTGCACGGACCTGACTTTGTCAAGGTTCAGACATCCCCTAGAGTTGGCTCAGAGGCAGCTGCAGGAGGTGGAGGTGGGGAAGTCTGCGACAAGTTCACGAAAACGCTAGCAGACCAGCGAGGACGCTTGGCTCGCTGACGCTCTGGCGCAGCCACGACCTCGCGCCGACTGGCTGGTTGAGGAACGCGGCCAGACACAAAAGCAAATTGAACAGCGCCGGCGGGCGGAGACCAGGCAACGGGTGTTGGATAGAAGTGCGGTTCCGTCACCACCCAGGCCCAGAGCCGTTCGTACTTGTCCAACAGGGACCAGTCCGTGAGACGGTGCTTTGTCACATTCTCCGGAAGCAGCGCGAATCGTGCGGCGTCTTCCTCGGCGCAGCTTGCGGGAGTCCAGCGACGTGCTGTGTCACGACGGCCTACCTGGACACAATCTGCGATGCAGACCTCGCCAACAAGTAGGTTCGCTCCAGATTCCGCAATGGCGACACGGCCGCGGATCTGAGTGGCATGGCTGCGGAGCTCCCAGGTCTTGGCACCAGTCACCAACAGCCGAGCCCAAGGAGGCCGCACAAAAGGCGCACGAGCTGGGAGATCATCACACATCTGTCTCGCGGCAGACATTGCAAAGGAGGATGCAAAATAGACGCCCGGTGAAGACTGCACAGCTAAAACCGTGGGAGCCAAGGTCCGAGCCACATCGGACACGCACATTCCCCGAGGATCATCGCATGCTGCTTGAGCAAGTTAGGGTGACAACGCAAGCGGGTTTTTTCCCTATCTCGACGCCACACCGTTGCTGCCACACTCTAGGGCTAAGTATGGAAGCCACGGCCAGCGTTCAAAAGCAGCCATTCTTTAAACACAACGCCTTGTACTCTGCTGGCATTGCAGCAAAGCGCAAGACGTTGTTCGGAAAGACAGACCCGCACGCGAGAGCCACAGAGTTGCTCAGCCGATGGAGCTTGCGGTCACGGAGCTTGAGAACATACTGGGGGCCAGGCATCTGCAATGGCTCGGAACTCCCAGCCAGGCGAACGGCAGGAGTTCGGTCGGAACATGGCTGCGAAACTTCCTCGGCGGGCTCAGGATGCGACGCAGCAGCAGCGGGCTGTGAAGGACCGGGGCTGCCCACCTGACTGCTAGAAGCATCGCGCGCCTTCGTGGCGGGACGTGAGCTCGGCCGGAAACTTGGCCTCCTTCGCGGAGGACGCGAAGTAGGCTGTGAAGCGCGAGCTTTGTTTCGTCGCAGGAACAAAAGGAGAGCCCGCGTGGGGGCGAAGCCTGCGTGGCCCGAAGCCCGTGCGGGGCCGAGGCCCGCATGGGGGCGGAGCGCGCTTCGGTGCGAATTCGTCTGAGTCGCTACCTCGGTCAGCTTTTTCCCCTTGGCTCGCGGAACCGCGCTTCGAGGAACGCCCCCGCCCGCGCGGCGCAGTGACCGGCGCACTCCAAACGTCTGCGCGGCAATCGGACAACGCTCTACAAAACGTTGTTGTCGGGGAACGGGTCTGGAGAAACAAGGGGCCCAGGCTCGAATCCGCTTGCCGCCTCTCAGCTGGCTCCGCAATTTCTCGACTAGGCGTCCTTTTCGGGGAGCGGGTCTGGAGAAACAGAAGTCCCAGGCTCGAAGCCTCCTGCCGCCTCTCTGCTGGCTCGGGTTGTACGCTCCCTTTTACCGCAAACATCGAAAAAGACAGAGTTTTGTCGCTTCCCTTTGCCGGGCATCATTGCGAAACGCGGTGTTATTCGATTTCCTTGCCCACCGTCCTCGAGCGAACCCGGAAAGAAATGTACATGAAGTGAAGGGGAGTGAGGGAGGGAGGGAACAGGGGGGGAGGGAGAGGAAAGCGCTAGGTCAAGGTCGGCGGACTCAGCCGGAGGCTCTAAAGGGGCAACCGGGCGTCGAGCAGCGAAGCTGCGAAAAGCATAGCTCTTTTGCCACAACATTGCATGTGGGCGAGACCCGGCCGACCCCCCCCGCGTGAATCCGTGGAAACGCCCGCACAAAAAGGGGCATAGAAGGAGGGAAGTACCCCGAAACATCCGACCAAGGCTTTCTAGTGAGGACACACCAAAAGGTTCGTGGTCAAACGCGGCCATAGAAGCCTGGCAGCCAGCGAGCGACGGGGGCCACACAGAATCCTTGCTGCCTTCCTTTGGAAGGACAACCTAGTACCCAACGGGGACGCAACCAAGGCAGTCACAGGATTTTCAAAAACATCCACTTCGTCTCTTGGAAGACCCGCCCCCGCCCTGTAAGGCGTGGCGTCAAGGGTATCACCGGTAAGTCGCGGCTTCAAGGAACAGAACGGCACCCAACGAAAAGTAATGCAGAACCCCCGACAGCCCGTGTGTGTCCTGTAAATCTCATCTGCACGCAGAACCCTGAGTCTGCCCGCGGCTACGCCCATCGAATTCTCGTGCCATTTTCTGGCCGAAAGCATCGAAGGCAATCTCGAGCGTCAGAAGCCTGCTGGAAGCGGATGCGGAGCAGGCGAGCGGTTGTGTCGAAGTAGTGGTCATGGGGTCCTTAGAAGGCAAGCAATGAGCCTCAGAGAGGGCCAGCCAGAAGACCAAAAACAAGGCAGGCGGCTCTTGGGCCGCCCACCTTTCAGAACCACCCGTTCCGGACCTGGCGCCGAAACCCTGCGTTTTTGGCCTTTTTTCCCGAACCATGAAAAGGGAACCTCACGATCGACT